TTATAATGTTGATCCTTCCCAATCCCAACTCGGATCTGTCCAGAAGCGGGTCCATCGGCTCCTAAAAGGACGTCTGAGGTGACTTTCTTATCGTTCGAAGAGTTCATTGTGGGAATCGAAGCATACGCAGCACCGCCCACCTCGACCTATTCGCTCGTCACTAACATGTTTCTCGTTTCCATGGCATTTCTGTTAATAAGACACTTCTTATAAAAGTCATTAGAGTGTAGCAAGTTGGAGAGGTCCGGCATCGATTGCCTTTTGGAAGCCTGAATGTAAAATATGCATCCTTTTCATGAATGGCATTTGGGTGTATGGGGACTCATTAGAAACTTTCACGAGTGGGAGCACAAGAAAAATTCCCATGGGGAATAGTGGAGTGTGAATACAATATACCATGAAGTTGGTTTGGTTCAGAAATTATTTTTCATCAGTGCCTGTTTTTCACATGTAACATGACCCCTCAGCCCTTCCGAGCCTATCCTCACGCAGTGTCGAATCCCTGGATTCGGAAATCCCTATCCATGATGCCCGAACTCCCCAAGTCTCTGTATGAATCCAGTAACATCGTAACCGATTCATAGCACTCTACTTCGCAGTTCTTCCATTTTGTTACGCAATGCTAAGCGCACCCATGTAGAAACAATTATCGTTCCTTCATGAAAAAACTATAGGACTCTTATTTAAAAAAATATCCAATGGGAATCCTATGAGATTTTTACGCCTAAGAAATCTAATAGGATTCCTATAGTGTGTAACAGGGCTCACACACTTAGAGGTGGTTCCGATAAATGGAGGGAAGGGCGGCAGGAAAACCTTCAGAGTACTTAAATCATATCCCTTCATGATTCAAAATGTGATTGCAATCAAAGTCTTGTATGATACCCTTCCAATAAGGACATTAGTAGGCTACAACAGAAATGTAACTTTTATAGCCATTTTTCAACAAATTAGGTCAAAGCTGGGGCGAAGGTGGAAAATCCAGATGCAGAGCTGGATGTCAGCAGGTATGCAGCCAAATGTAAAGAATGCAAATGCGAGGTATATATCCTCATATTTAGAATCAGGTATGCAGAGAATCGCAGGAAAATTTCGCCAAATGGTTGCAACTAGATTTTGTCAACTGGAATGATTCAAATGGCAATTTTTTCTTGGGATGAAGGATATGCTGCAGTTGTGTTCTAATCCGTGAACCATTTGGAGTCATTCCATTTTGCCCTTATCTGCCAAATGCTTTTCCTTGAGTATCCTTGGAATTTTTCCATGACTAGTTCTATGGAGGGGGAAAAAAGAAGCAAATACTCTTGGTTTAATTCAGCTGTCATGCCTTTGCAGGCGTTCAGAAACAAACGGACAATATTTATTGTCCATATCAAGAAAAGAACTTTCCATGGCCTTTCACTTGCTCAAACTGGAGGACCTCGGTTGTGAAGGAACCAAGGTCAGTGAGTTAACCCTTTCACCCACGGTGTCCCACTATAGTGGACGGCAAAATATGGGCAATGATAATGGTTTTTTTTGATATGGTACACATACCTTCAAACTTTTTGGCGTATGCAGTCAACTGAAGGGCACGTAATCTCTGCAGTGTTGCTTTCTAACGACAAAACATACGACTACTACGGCAGAATACCTCCTTAAACGTTCAACCGAAAAATGTATATTTTTTATTTAGCTCGAAAAATTCATACCTGAAGGGTTAAACCCGTAGCGTGCGCAATCCTGAACGGCTCGCTAGGCCGAGCGACAATTGTTTGCGTAGGTATGACAGCTAAACATGCCGAACGCTTCGAGATATTAACTGGGGTTTTTCAACACAAGTCTCCCTTATCATCCGAGGATGTGTTCTTGCGATGTGAAATATTCAGATCGGCCTCACGAAAAGGGAAGGGGGCTACTTTCAAGGAAAGTCGGATATTCGCTCTCATCTTGCCATCTTCAGGATGAACGAGGAGACGAGAGTGTGCGTGTTTCTCGTTAGGTGGCGGGGGCATCGTTCATCGCAGTCCCTTCCCCCTGCCGCTGTGAATCCAGGGAATTAATGTGTTTATGATGAAACTAGTCGAAAGCCCGCGAACACACTGGGTAATTAGTTGATGGATTTCGATTTTGTTTACAGAATCACGATTGCTGGAAATAATATTCCCTGATGAATGTCTTCTATACCGCTGATATTATGAATCTGCCTCATTTGATCAGCGTAGGGAAGATGGTCGGCCTTGGTACCCGGAAGTTAAGCGGGATCGACATCAGTATGACTCTCACGCGCCATTCGTTTTCTCCTACGATCATCGGCGCGATTGTGTTATGCAGCTGCTTTCCTGTCCATAATTCTGTGCCACGAGGATGGAATGATTTTTCTCCTGAAAAAACACCGGAAATTCTGATGAAAAAAAAGAAACAAGTACATGCCCGTAAGAGCCCAGAGGGACAGAATTAAAACGTCATCAGGCAGACATGAGTATGCACAACATCCGCGCAATTTCAGTCGCAACGATATCCTACGTGGCAATATTATATTATTGGTAAACTCACCCATTCGGTCAACAACGACTGGTTCAGGTTGAGAGAGGGCACATTTTCAAACATATCAATGTCGCCACGACAGCGGTTAAAAGGGGGATTCTATCAATACATTGCCACAATGTTAGAATGAAACATATATCAATGTTGATTCGATCGTGTCCCGTTGTGCCAAAGTCGAATTCTCAACGTTTGGGTATAACCTTCCCTTTTTTTCATCCATCGGGCGCGCTAATATTGACACTTCCTGGATCGGGATATCCAAACACTTTGAGGATGTCGATGTGAAACAACGCCGACGCCAAGGAAAGGGTTGAACAGAGCTCCAAAAATACTCTAATGAGTGTTGTTATTCCACGGAAGGGTCATTCTGAGGTTGTGCCTTCCTTAACAACAGACGATTCCGCGTGCACCTTGGAAGCATGGCGAGTAGGTCTCGTCTACTAAATAACGGTCTGGCGCGGGGGTCAGTGCTGGTTCAACACTATTTAATACATATTTCAGCGACCTACCTGCCACCATCAGCAGGAAGTTCGGCTACGTTGACGATCTCGCGCTAGCGACTTAAGCTTCCACCGAAGAAAGGGTCCAAGACAACTTAGCGAGGGACCTAAAGGAGCTCGAACAGTATTTGAAATACTGGCGACTCCGCCCAAAACAGAAAAAAACGGCGGTGGCATCGTTCCATTTGAACGATGGCCAAGCCGAACAGAAGCTCGCCGTCACCTTCTGCGGCGAAAAAGTGCAACACGAGAAGTTCCCCATATATATTAGGGATAACGCTCGACAGAAGCCTCACGTTCCACGAACGTTTCCGGAACATCGCAGCAAGGACAATGGCACGAATAAGCCTCGTAGGAGAGCGAATGCCACCGCTCTCCGCACGACTTCAACGGCGCTGGTCTTCTCCGCGGCAGAATACTTCGCGCTGGTCTGGATCAGAAGCTCGCACGTGAAACTGGTGGATACCCAGTTGAACGCCGCGATGAGGACGATCACAGGCACATTGTGGAGTACACCGCCGTCTTGGCTTCCGGTCGTATCCAGCATAGCACCGCCACAAATCCGCCGAAACATGGCAAGTGTACACGAATATCGAAAGACCCTAGAAAATCCCGACCTTCCAATCGACAGCGGCATCACATGCCCACCGCCAAATCGTATTAATCATCCTTTGCGTTGTGATAAACAACAATTTGAAAATAAAAGTTCGGAAAATTCCGAATAAGACCGAGGAAATAGAGTTTCCGTCTAATACGCGGAAATGGGAATCCGGGAATCCGGATATGAGCGGAAATCATGTCATATATTCTCGCGTAGAAAGGCTCTTTTTGTCGAGTATTTTTTTTGTTGTTGATGTAGGTACAGTAGAACGCCGATTATCCGAACTAATTGGGACCGGGGGTGGTTCGGAGAACCTATTTTTTTCGGATAACCGAACACTCCCACGGAAAGGTTGCGTTAAAGAAGTTAGTGCATAGAATACAATATACAGTAATAAAAAAGACGGGGGCAGTTCGGATAATCAGCGTTTTGGATAATCGGCGTTCGGATAATCGGCGTTCGGATAATCGGCGTTCTACTGTAATTTGTATTCTCGGGAGATTTTCCAGGAGCTTATTCCCTAAAGGCATGCATTGCTCGATACGTCTTGGTGACATCATTGATTCCAGAATATTTCAAAATATTGTTTTTTTTCGAAAGTAAGAATAAATGTGCTATTAATACATCCCACTATTTAATGTATCTTTTTGGACGAAAATAACGTCTATAACACTCGAAAGATATCGCCACTCGCTCCCACCCCTCCATCTCCTTTCTCAAAGAATAAGAGGAGGTCCGGATGGGCGAGTTGAAGGACATATTTACGCATATTTCATTTTGTGGGGCTCTGGCACCCAGGATGATCTCCGTAAAATCGGGAGTTTTTTCGGAAGTAAGAAAATATTTTTTCACGCGAGCTCTAATTCCTCTCTGAACAGATATACGTTTCGATGGGAATAAACATTCGTTTTCAGGCTCCAATGAATTACAACCATCAAGTGAAAGAAGAATGTATGTTGACGGGAGGAAATTCAACCAGCAGACGGACGGTAAACCGGCATATGCAATGCATAGGTGACAGTGGCCGGCTGGTGGAACTTTCTTTTCTCCCTCATTCACTCGTGGGAAGAAGAAGGCCCGAGGGCAGAGGTGGAATCGTGGAATGGAGCACCATGAAGGCATCTGACAGGACGAAGAGGAGATAATGATTTATTTCATGGTCCTCGAAGTTGTTTACATCTGCACGGAGCCCCAAGAAAAATATGAACTCGGCTCAGCCATGAAGAGAATTTCGTAATACAAACAGCTTATGTGCTTTCATGCAATGCTGACGTTCCTTGTCTTCTGGGGGATTTCAATATAATTAAAATCGGTGCACGCATTCGTGCCAAACGGTAAATCAGGAGGCGGGCAAGTCAGAGATATTTTCCTGCATGGATGCAAGACAGAAAAAACAGAGGGAATGGGAGAAGGAAGTGTTGCCTCCTGTGGCCCGCGGCGAGGTGGCCTCCCATGCGCCCGTCTCGTGCCTGATGGTATCTCCGAAGCGGTAGGCTCCGCTGCAGTCTTCATGAATACCAGTATTTCTTCTTTATTGCGGTATGAAGAGCTTCCGAGAAATGAGAGAGCTGCACCTTCCTCGTCTATTTTCAAGGACAAGGGGGAATCCTTCAGCTTCATCTAACCACATCAGCTTCATCCGTCTCATCTTACTGATCGTGTTGGTCGAATGCCCAGCTTTCCCCTCTCGTCTGGGCATGTACATATCCCCAAAGTTGCCCCTAAATATCTCTTCTGAACTTCATTCCTCGTGCACAGGTCGATATGTTTGCAATGGGCCAATTTCAAATAATTTAACATTTTCTCTCAAGGCAAACCTATAAACGAAAATTTAGAACATGTTTCAGTCTCTTCCCATCCCATTCACAGGGAAGACCTGTCTTTTCTACGGAAATATTACGATGATGGATTAGAAATAGAAACAGATATGACAATTGCAGCTTAGAGCTGGCAATAATGAAAATGAAAAAGAACATTTGGCCAAAAATAGAGGTAATTTGCCTCAAACCCTGATTCAATTAGATACCGTTTTTACATGAGTTCATAATTTCATTACACCCTGTACTACGTCGCATTCGAGAAGACTCTTTCTGCCCTGTCGAGATACTACGATGCAACGGAATGTTGTGACATCATGAGACCTTGAATGAGGGGCTTGGACCCGCCCATCTCCTACGCAGTGTCTCTTGTCAGTGCAAGAACTCTCTTACTAACAGCCCTTCATTCTTCGTCCTCTTGTTCGCCAGCCCTCATCTGTTTCTGTATCAGCACAAGGTACGACTGGAAAATTTTCTCTGAAGTGTCTCATAAATCTAGGAACTCCGTCAGGCTAGTCAGACAAGGCCCATTGATCAAGTCAGCATCATTAATTATAATGTTTGATTTGGCATCGATGATTCTTTTTTATACCTTCACTTCACGTGTACTGTCGGGTAGGTGCTGTCACATGGTATCCAGAGATATTCCTTGCAAATTTATGTGCGGGATGTCATTACTTAGAGCCAAGACTAGAATTTCATCCCTTATGCTCCTATCAGGACGCTGCATCATTCCATGAGAGGCTGAGTAAGCTCCATCTGTCCTGCAAAAGCCAACAGAACACGATAGTGATCAGTGCTGACAGGACACATCCAATTCTCAGCTTATGAATGCATGATTCGGTTCCCAAGTGGTTATATTTTTTGGTTGAGTGCACTCAGTTCAATACCGTACGAGTGAAATGTCTGGTTACAACAGTATATTTTATTGTTATTAGAATTATTTGTTTACCCTTAACATTTTGATTTATTCGCGTTGGCAGTGATATGGAACTGACAAAGAATGAGCAATTACGCCCGTTGGAAATATAAATGATAATGAATGGCGATCGAATAGAGTGCCAACAAAATTCCCGATTGAGTCCAGATATTTTGCTCATATTTTGATTTAGCAAGATTAAAGGCTATTGACTAAGGAGAGACTCTCGTACCACCTGAATTTTCAAATTGTGCGTCTAACTAAACCTGACTTTTCTTCTGAATATTTAAAAATAATATGTTCTCTTTTTCGGCTACGCACCATAAGGGAAAGACACGTCACTGCTCGTTCTCAAATGTTCATTTTGCCTTCAGAGGCTTTATAGGTTATTATTGGGTCATTTGTCGCGCTGAAATATCATTCTGTTGAGAATTGCGAGCGTTAAGTACTTTATTAACCTAACTCATCAATTAACTCCCTCACTCATCAAAAGTAGCGGCCATCGTAAACTTAAGGAATGTTTGATTCGAGAATTGTTCCAGGGGCACACCGGGGAAGGTCTGAAATCCAGTCTTTTCACATTTGAAAGCGGGGACGAGGTCATGTTTCGCACTGAAATCCACACATACAAGATTGCTTTTGAGACGAATTTTTGTGGGAATGGCTGCACCAATTCTAATTAAATTGGGCGTTTTAATGAGTGTTTAGAGCTCTAATCAGGGAAAAGCGTTGCGAGAGTTTTAGAGGGCGCTACGTGTCTGGCTTCGGAACTCTATGAACGTATTAGCACTTGTAGTAACTTGAAATGAAATTGATATTCCACAATCGGATCTTGTTTCAATTGACTTTTTCCCCACAGCCAAGCCAAAAAGAGAAGACGATGGCTAGTCCCGGCAAGACCTTCCTCCTCGTCGTGCTCCTCACTGCCGCGACAATGATGGAGAAAGCCGAATGCGGTTGCTTCGACGACTTGAGCCGCTGCACGGGATGGACGACCGCGGCGTCCGGCGTCCTTTGGCAGAGCTGTCACGATCACTGCCGGAGTCAGGGCCGGAACGGTGGGGAGTGCGTGCAGGTGGACAACACCTGCTGGTTTTTGCCAGCCTCTGTCAAAGTTAGGCAATGCCAGTGCAACTGACAAAGCGGCCTCCAAGTCTCTTCTGCTGTGAATTTCTGTCGGTCGTTATAAATAAAAATCTCGTTTTAAGATACTAGATGATATGACTTTTCTTTACGGGGTTTGCGTTTATGGTAAGATTTGAATGTTTTTAAAGGTGAAGCAAGCGTTTCCTCCTCCATTCTGAGGCACTGAGTGCTATTCAAAATATAAAAAAAACCTGAAGGATTCGCGTAATATTTCTGATTCTTAAGGGAAATAAATGGGAAAAATGGTAGGAAAGCCAAAGTATTAGCAGACTCGCAACCTGGCGATGATAAAATAGAAGTAGGTCGAACTGATTATAGTGAATGAACTGATTCATAATTCTCCATCCCGCCTGGAATATATATTAACACTTTGCCTACTCCTCACGGAGATCTCCGCGTTTGAGTCCTTTCGCGATTCCTTTTGCCTAGCCTACGGCCGAAAAAGTCATAGAGTGGATTTTTAAACAGAGCACTATCCGATAATGCAGCTTTATTTACCGGATGTGTCATAGGGTGGATTTTTGAACAGAGTACTATCCGATAATGCTGCTTTATTTACCGGATTTATAATGCAATTTCTCAGAAATAAAGCTGCATTATCGGATAGTTCTCTGTTCTAAAATCCACCTATAGCCTCGTAGGCAACGAGCTTTATGCTTAGGCAACTGAGGTCATAGCACGCGGATTGCTGCTTTATTTACCGGATTTATAATGCAATTTCTCAGAAATAAAGCTGCATTATCGGATAGTTCTCTGTTCAAAAATCCACCCATAGCCTCGTAGGCAACGAGCTTTATGCTTAGGCAACTGAGGTCATAGCACGCGGATCGTCGGGGTAAAATGTCCGGTACGCAATGTGTTAAATCCCCCTGAATCTCACGAGACCCAACGACACACATAAGGTCAGTATTCAATTATTAAGCACAGAGTGCAACATCAGCAAAATATAGAATTATGGTAAAATGTATTATTGGCGTACATTTTGTTGTAAACTGCTAAATTTTGAAAGGGTTTCCTACTTAACACCCATTCTTCAATACGTGTTTATTTCCATATTCTTACACCATTAATAGTCACTGAAACTGTTTTCTCCTAGTGAAAACTTTCATCCGGTGAAGTTCATTATTTCTTTAAACTACACCCTCATGCTTTGAGCGAACTGAAATAACGGAATCAGGAGTTCGCAGGCGGGCAAGTTTTCCCAAAATCTTGGCATTGGAGGGTCGGCCTGAAGTTCGAACGAATGATGACAAAAAAGAAAAGTTATAATACGAGCACGTACATACGGTAGTAATGAGGAGTGAAATCAAGGGTTGCACATAAAAATTTGCAAGTTCTTGCACCGGGTTACACTAACCAATAAAGAATATATCTAAACATTCGAATTTCACATTGACAAATTAATGTTGCCATTTGCCTTAATCATCATTCCAGCCACTAATTTTTGCAGCAGCTCGGAAATGAAATCAACAATGTCCTTCAGTTGTAATAAATCAATCCGAGAAATTCTTAGTGGTAGGGTATCCCCAGCTGGGAAAAACAAAATCGTGAGCTACATTCGAGGAAGAACTCCACATGGCCTCCTCTGTTTGGATTATGAATGTTGTCGTGTTCATAGTGTCTTCGCAAGACGAGGGATGGGATACTAAGGGTCATAGGGAATGTTTGAGATGGGAGCCAAGAAGCCAAAACTGCAATGGAGCTTGGAAACTTTTCGGACGAACTCCTCCTTCCCACTACACTGCTCAGGTTTTTTTTTTTTAATTAAGCATACATTCTCATCCTCTGCATCAACACTTTTCACTTGTTTTGGAACTCTTCCTGAAGAGAAGCAAAAAAATTGTTTTCCTTAATTTTCGCCTTCACCACATATTCTGTCGTTTTTCTTCGCCTTCTATGGATAACTGGATCGATTCCCTGGACGAAGCTTCGATCTTCAGAATCCTTGCAGAACGTATGAGCTGGGAGGCTCTTGGCTGTTTCCATTGCCTCTGCCCTAGCGAGTTCTTCTTTCCAAGGAATAAGACATCTTCCGTCATTTGTGATCTTGATGGAGCCTGCAGGAGGGGAGGATGCGTAGGAGGATCTACGCTTGCGCTCCATCGCTGGGGATCTTGTTGGATGGTCTCGTCGATGAAACACCATCGTTGTATCCTGCCGATGCGAAGGAAGTTGAGGCATTTCCGTGAGAAGATACGTGTTGCGTTGCCCCTGATGGACGAGAGATATCTCGCCGGACGTCTCAGATTGAGGTCTGCAGTCGGAATGGGATAATATGCTGGGAAAATGCAAGACATTGAGGTCAAATCTTCCTGGATAGTATTTCAACCTCTATCTTCGTTGAAGAGGTGAGGATTACTTACTGTCTGTAGACTAACTGTCTTTAGTTACACGATGAATCGGGAAGAAACTGGTCGACTAAGAAAGTTCAGGTATAGAAAGACGATGGTACAGGGAGGAATCATGCTGCAGAGGATCAGTTATAATCGGAGCCGTAACGATGTATCGGCAACCATCGGTATCGGCTGCCTGTGTTGTGCCATCGGCCATCAACAGGGTTTAATGCTGCCGATGTCAAAAAGAGGGGGAAAAACGGAAAAAAATATGACACAAGCGTTTAAACGTGACTATACGCTGGCCCTCTTGTCTCATTCAAAGCCACCCCCAAAGAAAAATATCGATCGGATTATATTTCAGCCCAAGTGTAAAAACCGGCGGAGGTAAATAGCAGTAAATATCGGGAAATCATCGCACCTCCGTTCATGTTATGGTTTTACGAGAGATTTTTCGTTAAATGCTCTTCATAGCAGCAATAGGTGTGAAGCTTACCACTAACGGACTAAGGCTAAAAATGGTCTATATCCTTTCAAGAAGGCCCTTGATAATTATCCCATAACTTCAGAAAACGCTCATTTGAATTAGCATGCAACCTCATGCCACTTTCTTCTCAATGTCAAATGTTAAGGATTCGCTGAATGTGAAGCATGAGAAAGCTGGACAACCCTCTTCCAATTCCGAGTATTTCTCGCTCACCATTGAGTGTTTGCTTTACGTGCTTAGATTGTTCGTGGAAATTCCGTGGAGTCCATTGAAATATAATTAGTGGCAGGTAAACCTGCTGCAAACCGGAGGAAACGAAGTGCTCCGTTGTCATGGAAGGAATCAATATGATCTTGAGAGACTACCACCCGAGTAGCACCCGAACGTGTTCAATCACCGTTTCATTTAACCCAGCGAACCATTAACGTCCTTGGGATAGTTATATTGACTGCTTAAATGCCCAAAACTCAAAGCCATAAAAAATAAATGTCAAATTATGCGTTCCTTGAACTATATGAATTTATGAAGGACTTGAATTTTATATTTCCAAAAAGGGGTTCAATAAAACTATCAGCTTTAAGATTCATCCAACATGCAATTAGCATTTTGGATACACTCTTTTCATCACTTGAATTGCATTCAGTTCAGGTAGAGCCCTGCTACCGTGGCAAGCGTTAGAAGTCACAAAGTAGTCGATTAGTCTGGTTGAAGTGAGTAGTAAGTAGGTGAAACTATCCCTGACAATCTTCAATTGTCAGGGATAGTTTGGTAGAGAAGCGTGGGGCAATTTATTCATACTGAAACTATTGTGACGGAATTCTTCTCGCTTGACGCGTCTGGGAAATCACGAGTCAGGTGACAGGTAATAATTAAATAACTAGCTGGTACCCGTGAAACTTTCACGTCTTTGTATTTGAGGTTAAGCGACGTATGTTCCAAAGCATTTATATGAAACGCGGCTGGAATTTTCAACAATCATATCAATACTATTGAGTGCGTCCCGTCACACACCCCCCCCGCCCCCACCTCCGTCCCCACATCCCAGAATTTCCTAATATGCCAAATTTCAACAGGTTCGATTCTATAATATTCAATTGAGACCCAATGTACGAATTAGGAACTGATCTATCAGATAAAGAGGAGATCCTTACCATCCTCAGAGACCCCCAATTTCCCTTCATAGGAATTTTAGGTGAGTTCTGTCTCTGAGGATTCTAGGGATAGCGTTCGAATTCCAATCTGCCACGATTTGGTTTAATAATAAGGGATGCATTGCGTCATCAGGGAACCTGCAATTGCACGGAAGCAAATTTTCAGCGAGTGCCGCCTCGTAGCATTCGAGCGAGATACGTCGTTCGAATTTCGAACACATGGGCATTGGATGAGGTATGATTTTGAACCATGGCCGCCATGAGTTTCAGGTCTATTGGACGGACCCGACCCTTGGATCGGACAGGCAGCTCGGTAGGCAATCGAGATTCCTGCTGGGTGCAGGCGAATGCATTATCAGAGGGATCTTTTTCTCCAGCCGCTTTCAGCTGCTGGCAAAAATGACACCCCAACCGCGACCGCGACGCGTTCAAGTCAATAAATGACGTCACTCTCAGGCAGCTGGCAGCGCAACGTGGCGAGCTATGAGAGCACCGAACATCACAGCAGCACCAACGTGACGTCACGGGAGCGTCAACAGAGCCTCTTAGAAAAAGGACGAACCCAGAGACCCCGAGTTCTGAAGCTTAGAGGCCTGAGCGGGCTGCGGACCGGAGAGATAGGCCCTTCCCGACCCGCAGGTAGGATCCGCAAGACTCGGTCTGGCGATCGAGTTCCTACCGCGATTCGAAACGGGCCGAGTTCTAAAAAGTCGACCGGTGCAGGCCTCCGGCGGATGGACGAAGGACGTCGGCAATTATTATATAGATCTTTTAATCTCGCATGAGGGAAATCCGTAGGACGGATCGATAGAATTAAGCCCGTGAGGACCGTTCTTGCGAGAAAATATCGAAAAGTCTCACCTTCTTTCTGGAATCCTTCGGGTGGCCTCACAGAGGACCCTCTTTCCGCCTCGCATATCCATACGAAGAAGCAATCATTTCTCGATTCACCCTTCTCGCGCGGAGATTCCCGGATCCCCAAACACTTCATTGTAAAATGTGGACTCCTCGGACTGGGTTGCCTCGGAAGACCGATTTCTTCAAGAAGTCAAGTATTTCCTGACTGGTTTATGCGGAGAGAGAGATCGGCTACCTTATG